TACATAATTATTGGGGGCTTTACATAAGTAAAGGAAGACTACAAAAATGGAATTTAAAGCTTTGAAAAATTCATTTAAGCTTGGTGACCTAACAGCCACGCATTTTGCCTTCTTCCAACTAGTTCTTACAATCTCATGCTTCATAGAAAACTTTCACCGATCATCTTCTTCAATGTATATGAAGAAAACAAAAATCGTGTGCTGATGTACAATCGTATTGATTGTTCAATCTGTTTGTCCTTGGTGTGAGTTAAGAATGATAATTCTTGATCAAATGGTGGTTATGACCAAGTATAATAGTGAAATGATAAAGTCAAAACCAAAAGGTTTGATTCCACTTCTCTAACAAGTAAAAAAGAAGAAGATACAGGGGAGATGTTCTTAGAATTTAAAAAAAAATATATTATTTTTGTGAAATTAAAAAACCAAGACTTATGCAATTTTTATCGTTTGTTTTAGTAGATTATTTAACCAGTGGCATGGGGTCCATCAATATTTCCGTTTGGGGTCTACTACGTTACAATTGGTGTTCAAGTATTAATATGTTAGGTAACTGTTGTAATTAATTAAAACTTATAATAAAGATTCTAACAGCACATTTGCAACCAAAATTGCTTAATTTATCATAAGATATTGTGACTGCCTGATATCCACCACTTAAATTGTATAATTAAGAACAAAATTTTAATTTTCCTATGCTTTAAGATTTACAAGAATGTTGCGATAGACCCCTTTAGCAACATTCATTGAATCAATAAATGTTGTGTTTTGCGATTGGAAAAGATCATTTTTGTTGTAGTGTGTATTAGCTTGACCCCTTAAAACTATAATGAAGTGTCAACACTTTATTGAATAGACTTTAATATCATGTGATGACAGATCATGAGCGTTAATTTACTGCATGACCTAGAGAACAAAAACTTCTTTATATAGATTATTATTCATTGCTTTAGTACCTTTCATGTACTCTAGGTAAGAAACCCTAAGTAGTGGGCAAAAGTTCTTTTTTCTACCTCCATATCCTTCCTATTCTCATGTTGACAACTAGGGCTGAACAACGAAATCTTCAAACCGAACCGAAACCCTTTTTTTTGAAACCGTTGGTTTGGATCCACGTGGATCCATCAACACTTTGGTTTTGAATCGAACCAAACTACTTTGAAGTGGTTTGGTTTAGGTTTGAATTTTTGCAAATCGTTTCAAACCGCCAAACCACTTTAAAAAAAAAAACAGTTTATTTTAAATTTTATTCAACCCAAGTAAAACCAAATACATCCCAATTGAAAGGAGACCTTCATATTAGGCCCTATCCAATTAAATTCAATACCCAACTTAACAAAATACCCAATTAGATAATTACCCTACTCCAAGACTCCAGCAAACGTGGTTCTTCAACTCTTCAATTTTTCAACTTTGTAACTTCTAGGTTATTTCTCCCTCTTTCAAATTCTAACAACAAAGGTATTTGAATTTCTACTATCTATATTTTTATATATTGATTCTTTATTTTAATTCATGTTCATGTAGGGAGTGTTGTTTGTTAATTTTCTACTTATTTTCTTAATTTCTTTTTATAATCGATCTATCTGATTACTGTGAATGAGTTAGTTTCAACACAAACTCTATCAATCTAAGATTCCATCCTGCCTTGCAGCCATTCTCATCTTGTAGCTCCTTAGGATTTATTTATTTATTTTTGGAAATTGTTGTTTATTTGAGTTATGATCCCTATACAGTTTCTGGCTGAACTAATTACAGTTTCTGATCACCTATACAGTTTCTGGCTAAATTTATTTATTTATTTATTTATCTGATCACCTATATAGTTTCTGGCTGAATTAATTAACTGAATGAGGCACATCTCCATGCTAATATTGGGTCATTTCGTCTATTTGGGAATGACGATTTAGGACCAGATTGGTCAAAATGTGTATGTGTAAGCCCAAATGTATTTGAGTTATGATCATCTGTCAAGATCTGGGTGAGATATGATTTGGTTTTCATTTCACAATAGACGATTGCAGAGAAACATACTTGATTGTAAAGATATAAGTCAATGAGCTTCCCAATCGAAGTAGCATTGGTGACAACCAGTTTTTAGGTTATAATTCTGATTCTAGTTTAAATTAGCGAGAGACATTTTAAAAGGAATAATGTTTGGACCTAACATGAAGATATTTCCATCTACATTGAGTTAGATCTCACTCTTCAGCACGTGCGCATGATGTGTATATATTTTTCATTCCACCTTGTGTATATATTTTTATTAATAGTTATTCTTGTGGTAAAAAAATAAATAAATAAAAAATAAAAATAAAAAACACACTATATTCAAGCCTTTTTGGCATTTCATAATTGATTAGGAGTTTCTTTACAAACTGTTGCCGGTGGGGGGCCTACCTTGAAATCTTTTGCTGTTCATATTCTTTTGTATATTAACTTTGACGTCATGTTGAATAATATGATTTTTTTTTCGTATGTAGATAATCGGTTATGGATTCGACTTTAGAAGAGCAAAGTAATCATGAGACCAATGATAAAATTCTAGTAAAGAGTGAAAATGTGAATTTGCAACAAAGTGTGAACGGTAAGAAGAGACATAAAAGGTCCAATGTGTGGGCTCATTTTGATATAAAGAATGATGGAACTGTAGAATGCATTTATTGTGGACAGATGTATAAGCATCAATCTAAAGGTGGGACTAGTACATTTCGAAATCATATCGAGGATTTATGCAAAAAATATCCATATGACATTAAATCTCTATGGTAACTCTAGAAATGATGAGGTTTTAGAGAGTGTTAGTAGTGGTGGACAACTTGTCAAGTTTACTCAAAAAGGGGTGAGAGAACAGATTACTAAGTACTTTATATTATTTGAGTTACCTTTTCGACACGTTGAAGATGAAGGTTTTCAGTGTTATACAAGATATTTTTTTCCGACTTTTGATTTTCCTTCAAGGATGATAGTTGTTAGGGATATTTATCGTTTGTTTCTCGATGAGAAGAAGAAATTGAGAAAAGAATTGAGTAAACACCGGGTTTGTTTGACTACTGATTGTTGGACATCTACAAAATGTAAGTTACATGTGTTTGACCGCTCATTGGGTTGACGATCATTGGAGACTTAAAAAAGGAATCATAAGTTTCATCCAAGTCCCCAGCCATAAGGGTGATATGGTAGGAAAAGAATTGATATCTTGCCTTCAGGATTGGGAAATTAATAAGATTTTCTGTGTGACAGTTGATAATGCCTCATCTAATGTAGCAATAATGAAATTGAGGAGTTGTTTTCTAGAGAAGAAGAATGGTCTAGTTCTTGGGGGAGAAATGCTTCATATGAGATGTTGTGCTCACATTCTCAATCTTATAGTTTGTGATGGTTTAGAAGAAATGAGCAATGCTAATTCATCTATTCGCAATGCTGTGTGGTATGCTAGATCTTTCCCGGCACGACTAAAAAGATTTCGAGAGAGTTGCAAGGATGCAAATATTGAGTCTCGAGGTTTATTGTGTTTGGATGTATCAACTAGATGGAATTCCACCTACATGATGTTGCAGGCTTCAATAAAGTTTAAAAAAGCATTTGATGTTTTGGAAAGTGATGCAAATTATACAAAGTACTTTGATGAAGAAAGGTCTAATGGGAAAAATATAGATGGACCACCAACACATGTCGATTGGGACCAAGCAGAAGCATTTGTTGGATTCTTGAAGACTTTTTATGATATGACATTGAAAATTAGTGGCTCTTTATATATAACGTCAAACACTTTCTTTTAAGATATATGTGAAATTCATGCAGAGTTGAATGAATTTGCTAAAGAGCCAAATGGTATGATAGGATCCATGGCAGTTAGCATAAGTATTGGGGCAATCTTAAAAAGTTTAATCAATTGTTGTTCATAACAACAGTTCTTGACCCTAGATGCAAGTTGGAATTACTTAAAGTTGGGTTTGAACTTATTTATGATATACAAATTGCAAACATGTTGTTAAAAAAAGTTGAAAACACGCTTCACAGGTTATATGAATGCTATAAGGAAATGATGACTCCACCATTAGTCCCACCTAAGGATGCTACTCAACCCAGAAGCCAAAGTGCTTTACAAACTACTTTGGGAACTTCTAAACCTGTTCCCTCAATTTTTAGAGCTAGGCTTATGCAAGAAACTCAAGCAGAGAAGAATGATTTGGTGGATTATTTAAATGATCGTTGTGAAGATTTGACCAATGATGATTTTGACATATTAAATTGGTGGAAATTGAATGAAAATAAGTACAAGATTGTCTCCTAAATTGCCAAAGATGTGTTAGCCATTCAAATATATACAGTTGCTTCTGAGTCGGATTCTCAATCCTTTTAAGAGTTCATTGAGTGCAAAGATGGTTGAGGCAGTGATTTACACTAAGAATTGGTTACATAGTAACAAGGAACCTATTGTGATTCATCAATATTTGGACGAAGTAGAAGCATTGGATGATTCAGAAAAAGCTATAGAAGGTATTATCGTATTTTATCTTTCTATTCACTTTATTTTATAGTTTTTTACACCATTTAATTTTAATAAATGCATATATTTGTTATATACAGATAACGAATCATGTGTTACTACTGGAGATGTTTTGCCAATTAGTATTGATTAAGAGGTTAGAACAAATTGTTTCACTGCATTGAATTATTAGAACTGAAAAATGTTTGTTCCTAGTATTTATAATAATACTAATATTTATATTTTAACGTAATATTTAAGATTAAAATTTATGATTTAACTTGTTCGATGTACATTTTTTTTTTCTTAAACCGTGGTTTTAAACCTTACCAAACCGAAAAAGGCGGTTTGGATTGGTTTGGTTTGGAAATTGAATTGGTTTGGTTTGAAAAAATTTCAAACCGCTTTAAGTGGTTTGATTTGAAAAGTTGTCACAAACCGTCCAAACTGAACCGTGTGCACCCCTATTGACAACAAATCCCTAAGAGAAATTAAATTGATTCTCAAGATGGCACTAAGTAATAATATTATTGGTGCCATAAATTTTGTTGCTACGCTTCTTTCAATTCCAATAATTGGTACTGGAATCTGGCTTGCAACAAAATCTGGTAATTCTTGTGTCAAGATTCTACAATTCCCAGTAATCATTCTAGGCATTCTTATTTTAGTGGTTGCACTTGCTGGATTCATTGGTGGGTTTTGGAGGATTCCATGGCTGCTTATTTCCTACCTCATTGCAATGCTGGTTCTCATAATATTGCTTGCATGTTTGGTTGTTTTCGTCTATTTGGTGACTATTAGATGTTCTGGACATCTTGCTCCAAGACGGGCTTATTTAGAGTATCGTCTAGATGACTTCTCGGGGGGGCTTTGCCGGAAAGTTAGAAGTTCTTACCAGTGGGATAGAATTAGAAGTTGCCTTAGCTCTTCAAGCACGTGTGCTGAATTGAATCAGAGCTATCGTATGGCCCAATATTTCTTCAATGCCCATATCACTCCATTGCAGGTAAAAATCCACCAGTTTTTTAATCAATATCTCAATTTTTCCACTTCTTTTAGTAGTTTTTGTTTTTATCCAGTGCCAATTTAAGAAATAGGCATGAAAACATTTATAGGATTGTTTCAACCCAAACAACATTTATTTAATTTTTCAAATCTGCATTCTTTATAATGAGGGATCTACTTCATCTCTCAGATTATATACCATTTGTTTTATTAATTTTCCAACTTCAAAGTATGGTAAGTCTGAACAATAATATTGAACTAACTTGTCTAAAATTTAGTTCAAGGTACCAGAAATGTGAGATATTTATTGATAGAATTCATTTTTCAACACCTTCTGTCACGTGTGTGTTTATATTTTATAATACATATGCGTAACATGTGAACGATTTTCATAAAGAGACAATGATGAGACCTACATCTAGTATCATTACTAAGGAGATGAATGTTTATTAATATAACTCTAGTCTTCCTCTAACAATGTGCATGTGAAATTATGACTTGTTTGTCGTAAAGTATGGGACAGTACTGACAAAAGAAAAAATATATAAATTTTTGCATATTTTACTGTCGAGTTCTTCACAAGAATTATACCATCAAAGTTTTTTAAGCAATGTAGACAGACTGTAGGCTATAATTCACCCATGTTGGACATATCGACACAGGATTTTTTTAAAGAAAGTATCAACAAGTCCTAAACACGTTAATTAAATTATTTAAAATTCTTGTTGAATTCTTTAAACAACAATACCTATTTGTTATATCATAATAATTTTGAATTATATTTATATACTACTACGCCAAAAAAAAGAAAATGACAACAGTAGAGCACTCGAGAAATCCGTTCAACACAACAAAACATGTATTAAACACGAAAACACCATTCTAGTTGAAGATTCCATGCAACACATAATAAAGGTATATCAAAGTATAACAATGACTAATCTTTAACCAAATGTTATATTTTTTCTTCTCCCAATATATTCCTTGTCTTTATCATTTTTCATCTCTTTCTCTCTATACTCTTTGACATTCCGGATGCTGTAAACCACCAATAGAATGTGGCTACACATTTGTGAACCCAACATATTGGATTAGTCCAATAAACACAGCAGCTGACATGGACTGCTTGCAATGGAGTAGTTGTTGAAATATAGAGAGGAATATTGAGAAACAATGGCTTGACTTTTCCATTGATTGAGAATGAATATATATACACAAATTTGGGCGTTGCCTTGAATTACCCAAAACACAAAAGTGGAAACTATCCTAGAATATGGAGATTAGAACTAATTACTGGGATAAACAGTCTAGAATTAGGGAATTACAAAATATGGGAATTAGAACTAATTACAGGGATAAACTATCTAGAATTAGGGGATTACAACTAATTACAAGAATTTAAAATGTGCTAAAAATCTGTTGTAGTTAATTCTCTAATATGCCCCCTCAAGATGGAGCTCCGGAGGAAACGCCAATCTTGACCCTTAATTCTTGGAAGCGGCTTCGTGAAAGCGGTTTGGTAAGAGCATCGGCAAGTTGATCTACTGAGGAAATATGAGTAACACGAAGAGCGCTTGATTGAACTTGATCCCGAATAAAGTGATAGTCAATTGCCACATGTTTCATGCGTGAATGAAAGACTGGATTAGAACAAAGATAGGTGGCACCAACATTGTCACAAAAGATAACAAGAGGTGTAGAGAGAGTGACGCCAAGTTCTGTTAAAAGGAACAAATCCAATTGATTTCTGAAGCAGTAGCGGCAACTGATCGATATTCAGCTTTTGTGGATGACCGAGCAACTGTACGCTGTTTCTTGGATGACCAAGAAATAGGGTGACAACCAAGATAGACAATATAGGCACTCGTAGAGGTATAGTCGTCTTTGTTGCCAGCCCAATCTACATCTAAGAATGCATGAAGAGAAAGTGGATTTTCTTTATGAAGAAATAATCCATGAGTCAGTGTGCCACACAGATATCGAAGCAGTCGTTTCGCAACATTCCAATGTTCAAATGTCGGCCGATGCATGAATTGGGAAAGCTTGTTAACAGCATAGGCTAGTCTAGGCGAGTGAGGCAAAGATATTGTAGACTGCCAACAATTGTTCTATATTCTGTGCAGTCAGTCAGAGCTGTACCAGAATGAAGTGTGAGATTTCCATCTGTAGCAAGTGGTGTAGCAACAGGTTTTACACCAAACATTTTTGTTCGGGCAAGAAGATCAGTGATGTAGCGCCAAAAGGTCAATGTACCGTTGAATAATGTTGTTGTTGGTACCTGTGATGATAATGTCATCCACATAAACAAGTAGATATGTAGTAGTGTCACCTGAGTGAAGTATAAATAGAGAGGTGTCTGCATGAGAGTTTGTAAACCCAAACTCAATGAGGAATTGGTGAAGTTCAAGGTACCAAGCCTGTGGGGCCTGCTTGAGTCCATATATAGCCTTCTTTATTTTGCATACATGTGTTGGATTGTCTCAATCAACAAATCCTAGAGGCTAGGCCATGTAGACATCTTCGGAAAGATGGCCTTGAAGAAAGGCATTATTAACATCCAATTGTAGCAACTGCCAACCTCTATTGATTGCCAAGCTTAGAACAAGGCATATTGTTGTTGGCTTGACAACTGGACTAAAGGTGTCATGATAATCCACTCCAGGTCGCTGATGAAAACCTTTGGCAATTAATCTGGCTTTGTACCTACCAACAGAACCATTAGCAAGCCGTTTAATTCGAAAAACCCACTTACAGCCAACAAGATTCTGTAAAGAAGTAGATGGAACAAGCTCCCGGGTTCCATTCCGAACAAGAGCATCAAAGTCATCATTCATAGCTTGCCTCCATTTGGGATCTTTTAGGGCTTGGTTAACAGTATGAGGCTCAATGTCGGATGGTTGAGGAAGGACAACAGTGAGAGTCATCTTGGTTAGGGGTTTGTGGATGTTGTTTTTCGCTCTAGTGGTCATGGAATGGGTATTTTGATGGGTGGTTTGAGCTGTGCTTGAAGTAGAAGAGGTCTCAGAATTATGTGGTTCTAGTGGTAAACGGTCAATCGTGGTTTCTTGGCAGTCAACCGAACTGTGTCTAAGTAAAGGGAGGTCTATGGACAGAGGTCGACGATCGACTGGTGAGGAGAGTTGATCGACTGTTTGGGCATGTTGTGACGAATGTTGACACGAGGAATCCTTTTGTAGAGGCGTATTGAGTGAGCCACTTGAAAATGGTAGAATTTGGACTAGGAGAAGCCATTTGAAAATGATCTATGGGGTGGGACGAGAAAGATGGGACTGGTGAGTGGTAAAGGGAAAAGAGTTTTCAAGAAATTTAACATGACGAGAAATATATATTTTAGAAGTGGACAGGTCAAGACAGATATAGGCACTTTGTGTTGAAGAGTGACCAAGAAAAACACAAGAAGTGGAACGAGAGTCAAGTTTATGTTGAGAATAAGGACGAAGCCACGGATAACATAAGCAACCGAACACCCGAAGTTTAGTGTAGTTGGGTTGAGACTCAAATAGTTTTTCAAAAGGAGATGAAAGATTTAGTGTGGGTGTGGGCATACAGTTAAGATAGCAATAGCAAAGGTATAAGTCCAATAAGTTAGAGGCATCGATGCATGAGTGAGAAGAGATAAACCTGTTTCAACAATATGGCGATGACGTCGTTCGGAAAGACCATTGTGTTCGGGTGTATGAGGTGGTGTAGTAAGATGGGATATACCATTGGTGGAGAGAAAACAATCAAGGACTCGATATTCGCCACCATTATCTGAATATAGGGTAACAATTCGGTGTTTAAATTGGTTTTAGACTAATGCCTTGAAGCGTACAAAGACATCATACACATGGGATTTCCATTTAAGTGGATAATACCAAACGTACCGAGTATAATGATCAACAAAGATAACATAATATTGAAAACCATCAACAGAATAGACAAGAGAGGTCCATACATCAGAAAATATAAGTTCAAGCGGATGGAATGAGGTTAAGGTAGAAGAAGAAAAAGAAAGTTTGTGACTTTTATTACATGAACAAGCATTACAATTTGTGAAAGAGGATAACGGACTAGACAATGGTAAAGAAGACTTGGAAAGAATATTTTTCATAATAGTAAATGATGGATGACCTAGTCTAGAGTGCCAGTCAGACAAAGTGGTCTTAACACTGGAAAAGGCAAGCAATGGTGAGGAGGTAACTGAAGGGGATGTGGTCGACCACTCATATACGCCATCCTTAGGTTCGCCCATCAAAAGGATTGCCCCC